ATATTAGGCTGCAAAATACTAAATAAAATATCAGATGAACTGATCAGCAATGGTCTGAAAGACAGACCTGGGTCATCCCGATATACAAAGAAAAGTTTAACAGAGAATATCCTCCCATCACAATAAAGAGTGAAAAAGGGGAAATGTGCTTCCATTTCAGTAGACACAGAGAAACCATTTAATAAAATTCAACAGCTGTTTAAGATTCTACAACTATAAATCTTAGCAAACCAGGTGCTGTGGACCTCATATGTGTGGCCTCCCCCCAATTCTTACGTTGAAATCCGACTCCTAGTGTGATGTTATCAGGAGGTGGATGGGTAATTAGGTCATGAGGTAGAGCCTTCTTGAGTGGATTAGTGCCCTCAGAAGATGCTGAAATAACCCGAGTTCCTTCTTCACCGTGTGAGGGGAGACACCTTCTGTGAACAGGAAAGTGGGCCCTCCGGACACCGAATCTGCCAGGGCCTTGACGTTGGACTCCTTACCTCCCACTTCTCAAATGCTCACAGTACCAGAACTGAGAAATAAATGTCTGTTGTTTACCAGTTGCCAGTTTATGGTACTTTCGTTATAGCAAACTAAAACATTAATTGTGGAAAAGAAATTTCTTAAATTTATATTAAACAAATGTTTTTCATATGAGAAAATGTAGGCACTTTCCTTTTAAGATTGAGAAAGGCAAAAATGTTCTATAACATCTACCACAGTATGTGCCTCAGTACTAACCAGTGTGATAAAAGAGAAGAAAAAGAATAAGTTTAGCAATTTAAAGGAAAGGAAAGGAAAACCATCATTAATTGTAGTGATGAGGGCCAACTAAATGGAAAAATGAACAGAACAGCGTACCTATTACAATAGTAAAATTCTCCAAGCATCTCAGAAATAGGACTCAGAGCTCTTCAGCATTTCTCTATACCAGTGGTTCTTAACCAGAAGAGGTTTGGTTCTCAGATATGGGTAAAAAAAATTAGGAAATAAAAATAGACTGCCTGGGGCTGGGGATTTGGCTCAGTGGCATAAACACCTGTCCAGCAAGCAAACAGTCATGAGTTTGATCTCCTATATAAAACAAAAAAAGAGGGCTTTTTAGCAAAATTAGAATTTCAGGTCAAAACTATCATAGTATAAGTATGTCCTACGTAACTTTTGGGACAAAATACAAGACTGCTTATACTTAATCTGTCATTCACACCATCAGGGGACATTTAGCAACTGAAGACATTTTGTCACAGTTGTGGTGGGAGATGCTACTAGCATGTGATGGGGTAGAAGCCAAGGATTCTGCTGAACACAGCCTACAATGCACAGGACAGCTGCCCTCGTCCCGCCTCACCCCCACACCAAAGCAGGGATACTGAGGCTGGAAAAGTGCTGTACCGTGACAACAACCAGCCGGCAACTACAAAAAACAAGGTCCGTGCCGAACAACAGTGAAATGTCTGGGCATTAATTTAAAGAACTGACAAAATCGTAAACTTTCAAACTCTGATAAAAGGCAGGAAAAAATTTACAAATTTGCAAAGAGCCATTCAATACTCTTGTATATATGTTACATGTTCCTTTTACTCTTCTCAGCAGTAAATCACAGAAAACTCTATTCAAAATGTAAGCAAAATTTTTTTAGAGATTAAAGTTATTCTAAAATTTGCATGAAAACAAGGGAGCAGGGAGGAGGGAAGGAAAGAAGAAAAAAGAATAGAAGGAAAAAATGAAAATAAAGCCTTTTGTAAATAAGGGGAAGAAGAGCTGAAGGGAGGAGAGGGGATTTGGTCGGGGGAGGAGCACTGACCTCGCCATCCCGTCATGCATTATTAAATTTGTCTCTGTCTCTTTTCTCATCCTTTGACTGTATCCCTTGTACTGGGATTCCTAGTTAGCAAAGAAAACCATGGAAGAAATGAACAGGTTAGGAGATGTTATATCCAAATATTTAAAGTCCATAATGGACTAACATCTAGAATAAATAAAGAGTTCCAGTAAATCAGGAAGGAAAAAGAAAGCACCCAACTGAAAAATCAACAATGGCTAGGAAAAAGCAGTTTTCTCAAGGAAATCCAAAAGGTTAAGAAACATAGGAAGAAATGCTCAACCTATAGTAAGTAAAGCATTTTCACATAACCGTAAGATCCCACTTGACACTGAGCAGATTAACAAGGATTGGACACCTGGATAATCAAGGGTTAGAGAAGGTTTGCTGCTGGTGGGACTGAGGGCAGGGCAGCCTCTCAGGAAGGTAATCTGATAATGTGGGGGCTAAATGCAATGAGTGCACACCCTGTGGCCCTGATATCCTACTCTTGGGTACAGGCCCAGAGAGATTACCACAAAGACGATTACGGGGACATGTACAAAAATACTCCTTGCAAAGACTCTCATTGCCATGGTGTTTGTGTAACCAGAATTGAATCAATGCACACATGCACAATACATAGAGAGAACAAGTACATGCACGCGGTAGGATATTTGTAGCAACCAGAAGTAATGAATTAGATGTCCACATAGAAACATCTGTGGGGTTTTAAAAGCATGGTGCTTTGGAGGGCTTGGGGAGGACAGAAAGAGACCTTTAACCAATAGTACTTCATAATGTTTTCAGAGGTACACAGAGACTGGGAACGTGGGTGGTAGTGTATTTGTCTAGAATGTACAAAGTCCTAGGTTACATCCCTAGCACGGAAAACACACACAAACATAAAATATATGCTTAATCAAGACACATACAGAAGTAAATACACACAGCACACTGTGGTTGCTGATTGGATGGGGAGAGTTTGCAATAAAAGTGAAAACAGGAAAGTTAGAAGGGTTTGTCCAAAGCCTGGGAAATGCCCTGGACAGGGCAGAGTATGAAGCTAAAGGAAACAAGTCAACAACGAAAGTACCAGAAGACGCTCAATGGGCTTAAGTTAGGAAAGCTATTTCCAAGCTGTGGTTTTTCTCCCGGTGAGAGGAGAGGTAGGAGTTCTGAGAGGTAGCACCAGCAAACATGCGAGCTGGAACCTGGGCACTGAAGTTTTCATCTTACAGAAATTCACATTAAATCATACACTGACAAGACCCTCCACCAAGCATCTCCTCCAAGACAGGTGACTGTGGGGAATCAAGTGTCTGTCCACTCCAGAGCCCCGAGGAGAATTGGCAGGGCAGCTCCTCCGAGATTTTGGGGCCACAGTGAACTAGGGAGGGCAAGAGCCAATGCTGTGCTGGGCAGAGGCTTGGAGATGAGGCACAGGGATGGGATGCAGCCTGGGCAGGCAAGGTGAGGACAGCTGCTAAGGAAGCGAGCCGTGACCTCTACAGCAGCTCAGTAAGGCAGAGGGGACACTGAAGGGAATCTCATGAACACCTGTGTCATACGGCATTGTTCTTAATGAAAATAGGACCATGACACAATCTTCCCACAGTATCTGTGTAGGATTGGTTCCAGGACCACCCCCAGGATACCCAAGTCCATGGGTGTTCAAGTCACTTATATAAAATAGTATATTTGCGTATAGCCTATGCAAATCCTCCCATACACTTTGAATCTTCTCTAGATGACACAATACCTAATACAATGTGCAGAGCTGTTATACTCTTATTAGAGGGAATTATGTTCTTGTATGGAATAATGTCTTTATACATACTGAGATACAACCATGATACTATGCAGTGATCATATAGGGCACGTGCTTTGTTACTTTGAGTTACTTTCCTTAACATTCAGATCCATGCCATGCTACCCTGCTCTATGTCCCTCTTCCTGAGCTCCCCTTGCTAATGTAGGTTCAGCCAGAAATTGCAGAAAACTAGAGGGTGGGAGAGAAAACACGATATCTCTCTCATCTAGTATGCTTTGTGGTTCCAGTCCCTAGCCCCACCCACACCCCCAGCTTTCAGACTGACTCTGAAGGAGTCAGTGTCCCAGAGGGACACAAACAGCTTCTCCTAATGTTGTAATCTCTGAGTGGTTCCTCGGCTCTTCCATCACCTGTATAATCAAGTTGCTGTATTAAAATGTTTGAAATGCTGGGTATGGTGGAACATTCCTGGGTAATCCCAGCACTTGGGAGGCCGAGGCAGGAGGATTACTAAATTCAAGACCAACCTGACAACTTAGTGAAACCCTGTCTCAAATAAACAAAATGTTTGAAATAACTACAGTGAATTGCTTTCCTGACCAGACCTTGAAACTGCTTGGGCAGACCCATTATATAGACAGTGTTTTTTAGCTTTCTGTATGAACCACACTACAGTCAAACCCCTAAAGTTAAATTAGTCCCCAAGCATGCACATTTCTTTAGGAGAAATTTCTAGAAAACTATATAAAACCTGTTTGGGACCATTCCCCCCACTATACAATAAGATTGTACAAATTTACACTTCCTAAAATCTAAATCTAATTGTAATTCTTCCTTCAGGTTTTTTGTTGTTTTGAGACAGTCTCACTTTGTAGTTGAGGCTGGCCTTGAACTCAGGCAGGGCTCGTACTGGCAGCAATCCTCTGCCTCCTGAGTGTTGGGACTACAGCTGCGCCCCCTGTGACTGACCTTTGGGCTCTCCCATCCTCTTTGCAACAATCATCTTTCCTTAGTCACTATTAATAAATTTAATAAAATTTATTAATAACCATGTAATTTTAGTCATTGATGCAGCAGCATCAATGTCAATGGGTATCACCAGAGACCTCCAAGAAACGTGCACTTTTTTGTTGCCATTATTTCCTAAACATACAACTATTTACCTAGTATTTACAGTGTATCAGGCATATACGCACACACATACACACTACAAAAACACTACACTACTTCATTTTATATAAGGGAAACAAATGAAATTCACAGATGGTACCTTTGGGTGGGTTCTCTCCTCTCCTCTGCAGGCTGAGAGATGACTGTACACTCAGAATCTAAGACATACATAACTACTCAGATTGTTCAGAAAGTACTAGTATGTCCCTAAGATAACCACAATCTTAAAAATGTACATCGAATATTTTGCCCAGGTGACACACTGAGTATTTTGAAAAAGGTTAAAATTTATTAATAATATTTAACATCACATAGTTAATTCAACTAGTTCTTTATTGTACACAATGACAACATCTTCACCAGACTGAGTGCTCAAGGGTTTGAGGTGATGCATATCTGGCACACCCCAGGCAAAGATTGAGGTACACTCTTATTTACACCAGACAGGGCAGCAGCAACCAGGGGACCACAGTCAACATGCACTGTGTCCAGAGTTCTGGCTTAGAAACCAACAACACGTCTTTAATAGCCACACACATTTAAAACATGTAATTTTAGTTAAAATTCATTAAAATTAAGTTAAAATTCATCTGTGCTTCATGGATGTCCTTTAGTGGTTGACAGTCTATTGGTGGCTTTTGACTTTCTGTTGTAATTGAAGGCAGCGACACTTTAGATAATAACTGCAGATGGACGCAGCAGAGCTTCTTCAGACAGGCAAAGCCAGGCTGCAACAAACGAGGCCATGTCCCCTTTCCTGTTTCTTTCCCAGGAAGATCTGGGCCATTCTCACTCATTTATACCCCAACTTGTTCAAGACACTGTCCTCAGCTCTAGTTTGAAAACGTACAAAAACTAAGTTACAACCGAATTGTGAGTTTCTGCCCATTTGTCTGTTTGATTCTATTTTCTGTATCTTATTTAATAATGTTACAAAACCATTCCCTTTGTCATAGTATATCAAGATTTTTAATGTTTATGATTATTTTTATTTTGGGGCAGAAGTGGGCTTTCAGATTCAAATTCAACTGCACTCTTGAAAAGAAACCTGGAGGCTTTTGTGGCATTTCAGTCTCTGCCATGAAATAAATACCATGTATAAAAAACAACAGGCCTGGAGACCAATGCCAGCTCAGCCGAGGGAAGCACGCTTGTCAGAAAACATTTACAAGACATTTACAAGGAGAGATTTGCTAGGAGGGCACAAGCACACCAAAAATGTTGTCCCTGAGGCTTTATTTGTTTGGTTCATTAATTGCTTCATTTTGGTTTGAGGTTGACAATTAGATAGAATTATTTAAAAATTTGGTGGTGGCTTCCTTTATCTTGTTAGACAGATGACCGACCGCCCTGAGAATAAAAATAAAGACATCCAGGCAATGAGTCTACTTGAAATGATGTCTTTGGTTTCCTTTGGTTCACATCCCATGTCATATTGCCCCAGGGAAGTCTCTGGACAGAGCAGTCAGGTGCTGTGGTTTCTTCAATCCATGGGCCCAGCCTTAGTCTCTGTTTATGCTTTCCATATATGTTCAAGACTGCAGGAGAGGGAGCAGCCAGAAAGCTGATGCTTTGCCTTTCACTCACCCCAAAGAGGCTTCCCTTCTCTTCCTGCAGGCGAATGAGGTATTTCTAGAAGCTAGTCAACATCGTTACCTTTCCTCCTAAACTAAACTGATCTATTAATGAAGCCAATTCTGAGGATACCGTGTATAGCTATCTATATATATAACAAATTAACAAATATAAATATATTACATACAATTGATCACATAATGAACAGCAGACCTACTTGATGAACTAAGTAAGTTTCACATATAAATTAAAATGAAAATACAGTATTTCCACTTTTGCAGGAAAATATTAAAAAATAAACTCTAAGGTTCCCCTTTCCCCAAAGGTCCAATGCTCACAGAGGATCTGCACACCCACAGTTGAGATGCAGAGACAAACCCAATCACAGGATGTGTCAACTCGTGGCTTTGGTTTCACTGCCTGGATGGGGAATTCCTTGATTCCAGAATAGTAAATGCTGGAATCCACTGGGCAACATTCTGAAACATGTCCAAGAAAGGATGCCCCAGGGATACTCATGAGATTTTCTTCCCCTTGGCACCCCTCCGCCCTTCCAAGTTGCATTCAGGAGGAGCAGGCTCACATCATTAGTGGAAATCTCTTAGACCACTAAGTGAAGAATCCATCTCACTGTTCATGCAGGGAGATTCTATCTAGAAATGTCACGTTCGGCTCCAAGGTGAGGCAACCACATCTTCAGGACGGTCCCCAACTAGTAGGATTGTACAGGGGCACGAAATTTGGCCAGAGCGTGACGAAGGACTGCATCTAAAAGTCAGCCAGTGGGAACGGTTTGTGACCATAGTGAACTCTGTAGCTCAGGAAAGGCAAGGTTCAGGAAGCAGACGCTACAGTGAGCATATTCAGAGACAAAACTAGTCCGCTGGGGTCCTCTCTCTGCCAAAGGAAAGCTAAGGGGTCTGTCTCTGACACAAGGAGTAGACACTGTATAATTTAAAACAAGGAGAGGGGAAGCAGAGATGCTCCTGATGATCTCAGGGACCCTATCGCTGTCCAGCCTCACGGATGCGGCAGGCCACGGCAGTGATGAGGGCCGCTCCCTTCCCGCTGCCGTCCTCTGACTCCAGGAAGCACACTTCACATTTCGGGGCCAGCTCCTTCACTGTCTGATGCATGACTTTGGCAAAGCTGGAGAAAGTTTAAAAAAAAAAAAAAAAAAGGACACAGGAAAAAGCATGTTAGTCAAGCACTGATTCATGTCTTCAGAAGTGCTGGAGATCCAGGAATAAATAATACAGAGAAGGGTGACAGCTACCATGTGGTAACCCTTCATGATGTCCTGGGTACCAGAAAATTAAGACTGGGAGATACTAGTAATATGCCCAAATTCTACATCACCGTGGGGTCATCAAAGATTAAGATTTGACTGAGATAAATGCCTGGAGATTCTGGTAAATTCTGCTCTTAAAACTAATCAGTGAAAGAGAAAAGGTTGTGAGTCCTACACCCACACTTTGCTGTTTACAAACTCTGTAGAGGAACACCAAGACCCATGTGTGCAGTTTTATGTTGTCCAAGGGCCAAGCTTCATATTAGACCCATGTCTACTTCAAAATGCAATTGAAGAAAAAAGAGGTGGGTGTATAGGGTTGCTCTTAGGACATTAGAAAGATCAGATTTTTTCCATATGGGTTTTGAAAAAAAAACTATCACTAGCCAACCCAACACAGAAGGGTTGGGATATCCTACCACCTATAAAGGACAGACACCAAGCTCTAAGGCTGGTAGCTGGGTTTCCATCTCTGCTATAGTTTGAGTCCAAAATATTCCCCAAAAGTCCATGTGTTAAAAGGTTGGTCTCTAGCTTGGCACTGTGGGGAGACAGTAGAACATTTATGAGTTGGGGCCCTGTCTCTCATTCTCTTTTTCAGTTCGCAGCCACAAGTGTGCAGCTTTACTCTATACACACTCTGCCAGGATGTCCTGCTTTTCCACAGGCTGAAAAGCAACAGTGCCAACCAATCATGGTTAGAAACCTCCACAACCTTCAAATAAAACCTCTCTTCATAGGCTGATTATCTCAGATATTTTATTACAGTTACTGAAAGCTGACTAACAAGTCCATCTCCCAACCCATTTCTGTAACCCAGGCTCCTATTTTCACAGTGACACCAATCATCAAGGCAAGGGGCTCGGATCTTCTATGCCCCCCTCTTTTCACTATAGTGTGGACTCTAGGAGAGACTCTGAACTCCCCAGAATAAACATGGAATGCAGGTCATTGTTCCACCAGGGCATTTTGTCCTCCCCTCCATCCTGTGCACACTGCCAGCCAGGGCACAAGTCTACCCCTTTGACTCCTAGCTGAAAAACTTTCAGAGTATTTGGCACTTCTTGACTTTCAAACAAATTATTCAAAAAAATATACACAAGAGAGGGAAGAAGAAAGAAGCAAAATAGTGACAAGAGAGAGAAAAACAGAAAGAAACAGAAAAGAAAAAGTAGAATGAAAAAATTTCAGCATCTCTATCATGAAGGATGGCTCAAAGGAGCAGGCGGCTTTCATCACTGCAGGCCAAGTACTCAGTCTGTAGCAATTACTCTTCCCTGTTACAGCAGCCATTGCCAATACACAAATGTGAGCATGGCTGCGTTCCAATAAAACTTTATTTATAAAACTTTATTTACTAAAGTTGTCAATGGTGTTGTCAAACCTCTGCTTTAGACCATAGAAAAATGTCTTGTTTGAGTCCTACAGTGTATGTTTACAGGATATTCATAGCAGCACTGTATGTAATAGTCAAAATCTAGAAATGAACCAAATGTCACCTCAACAGATGTAATGACATAGTAAGGTATGATATACAAAATTAAAGAACTATAACTACACATGTCAATATGGTTACCTCTTCAAATCATAAATACAAGCTGGGCACAATAGTGCACACCTATAGTCCCAGTTACTTGGGAAGCTGAGGCAGGATTGCTTAAATCTGGGGTCTGTGAGGCTAGCCTGAGCAACATAGGGAGCCCTCACCCTGAAGGAAGAGAGGAAGACAGGGAAGGAAGGAGAGAGGAAGGAAGGAAAAAGTAGTATAAAAACCATACATGCTGTGTGAAAAAAGTCACAGATACCCCATGATTCCATTCATAGCAGTTTCAAAAATAAGTATAGCAGACATTTATACTTAGGTACAGGGGGAAATTGAAGCAAGAGACTGGTACACCCCAGCTCTAGTCCCTGGCAGAGAAAAGGGGGTGCATATGGGAGGGGCTCACAAGGAGGCTTCCAGTGCTGCAGGGTGAAACCCCGACCTGTTTCTGATTGTTAGCCTTCAAACTACAAACATTAAACACACTCTGGCATGGCTGATATTGTACTCACTGAGGATGTAGCTTGTAGAGGGTCCCGTCCACACCCACTGTCACTTTGAGGGTGTCCAGCCCACGATTTTCTCGTATCTTGTCCACCACGGCAGCCATGCCTGCACCACAGAGCTGGGCTGCCCGCCGCGCCACCACGGTGCACACCTCCTTGACGATGATGCTATCGTCACAGGTGCTGTCAAGCCCCAAGTGATGCAGAATGGCACGGACCTGCAGCAGGGCTAGGCAGTCACTGGCAGGAAGGAAACAGCGAGTGGTGAGTCAGAGGCTGGCAGTCCAGGCTCCAGGCCCAGCTCCTTTACCCATAGAGGCTCCCCAGGGGCCTGGCTCCCAGGGTCCAGGCCCTGCTCCTGAACTTAGCACACCGCCCATGGCATGGTATCACTCTGACTCTTCCCGAGACAGACAAGAATATAAACACATGGCCACACAAGGTAGCACTGCCATATAAACAAATATTCAAAACAAAAGGTAGTTCACTGTATATTCGAAGGAGGCTCACTGTCTATATATTCCACTCATGCCAGTGTGTGGCAGTTTCCAATTGCAAAACTCTTTCGTATCCTTTCTCATTGGCACCCAGGGGTCTGCAGGATGTGGACACACCTAACCAGCATCAGGCTCCCCTCCCAATCCTGGGTGATCTATATCCTGCTTGTGCACTATTTAGGATAGAGATGTAAATAAAACTGCAGCAAGAAAATAAACACAACTATATGCAGTGAAGTATTTTAGAAACCTGGATTCATCTCCTTGCACACAAAACGACATGCAAGCTAGAGTAGACCCTCTGTATTCACTGGTACGGAGGCCCGAGAGGTCTATTCGTGTCAAGTTCCTAGTCTATTACCTGAGAGTAATGACAGCATTAGTTTTTAAAGGGCTCTAAAATTCACCATTCCAATTTGGTGCCCACTTTTCTGCCATTAGACTGGAGAAGCAAGGTTTTGCTCGAATGGGCCGCCTCGTGGCTCATTGCTGCCTGATGACCCCACCTGTCCTCAGTCCTGGCTGTCTGATTACAGCAGCCAGCAGTTAGGAAGGACCTCCGAGCACAACACAGACACTTTGTTATAACTTCCCATTTCTGTTTCCATCTTGTTAGCAGATTTCTTTCTAGCTTTGTTATTTGGTTTAAATTCTAACACTATCACTTTTCATGGGCTCAAGCCACGCTGGACAGAAGCTTTCAAGAGAATGTTACATACCGAGGTGCTGACCACTAAACTGACCTTTGTTTAAGCCACACCCTGAGCTCACTCACTGTTGCTGTGGAAATTCTTCAGCTTGTCTTACACAGGAAAAAGGGAGCACACAGTTGCACCAGCCCACAGATTCATACCTCTCAATCTGAGACAGAAACTTGGTTTCAAAGATTCCCCTTGTCTTAAGCCGCTCCGAGATGCGGCCACGGAAGAGCAGTCCACGCTTAGTAAAATCGATGAGGATGTTGCGGACAATCTCGCCCAGATACATGCCGCTGATCATCTTCTCAAACCTGCAGTTCAAATCACATTCATGAAGGTTAAGCAGGAAGGTAGGGGGACAAAGTGGAGAGCAGCAGCCTCCTCTAGGTAGGAAAGGTGCCACTGATTCACTAGGGTGGGTTTCCTGGGGGCCTCCCATGGTGATCCACCACCACCTGACCATGGTGCCCTAGACCCAGGAGGCTCCCTGGATGGACCCCATCTCCTAGGCTCATTTCCTTTCCAGGGCTTATTTCCCGCTGCTCTGGAAAGAACACACAGCAAACTCCACCATGCCTCGGAACGCTGAGTCTTAATCCTGCACTCCACTAGGCAGGTAGCATGCTTTCAGTATCACCAATACCCGATCAGTATCACCCAACTAACTAACTAGTGCCTGCTGCAGGTCCTCATCGAGGCCACTGGAGCTGGAAGTGGCTGTGACACGGACTGAGGGTCTTCTGCCTTTCCCAAAGTCAACCAAAACCTGGTCACTGCCCCATCTCAGCTTACTGCAGCCGCTTCCCAGAGGCATTTTAGTCTGGGAACTGTATGACAGACACATGTTTTATGAACTGCATTCTGCAGGACTAGTGTCCCCAGTTAATACAGGTAGCAATCATTACACACAGCTTCTTCCTAATGAACGTGTGTTCGAGCTCAGTCTCTTGGACCTCTCCATCACCACTCTGCCACTACACACTGGGTGCCATTACACTGGCAACAGAGGGTACCAGATGCTGGATGGCTGGTCCTTCCTGTCCAGGCCAACCCAACAGTGCTTCTCCCAGGGCAGTAGGTGGTCTCACTTTCCATTTACTGGCTCTCAAAATCTGAGTTTCAATGGTTTCCTTCCTGTTCTCCAGGGCCTCGGGTACAGAGTGCTGCTTACATTTGCTAACTCAGAATTTTCCAGGTATTTCTGACAAGAAATGCTTCTGGGAAACCCAGTAGCAATTCAACAGAGCAAGCATCCTGGAGGTTGTGCTTAAGACTATGATCGCTCCATACCTGGTTGGGCCTCAGTTCTCGCATGTGTGCCTACCTCTGTTTGCCTGGATTCAAGGAGAGCTCATCCACAGCCACATCGAATTCTGTGCGGAAGTCATCTAAGCACCCATTGTCCCCAAAGGCCCCCCACTCCATGTTGACACACATTCGCCCCTCTTCTCCGTCCACCAGCTCCACGTTACGCATCTCCTCCATGTAGCAGGCGTTGCTGCCCGTGCCTGCAATCACAAGGGCATCTCACTCACACCTGCCTCCACCCAGGAGAGGCCGAGCATCCCCATGCGGGAAGGGTGGCTGGTGTCCTTACCAACGATGAGGCCGACTTCACAGTGAGGGTCTTCGTAGCCACAGGTCATCATAGTTCCCACTGTGTCGTTCACCACTGCAACTACGTCCAGGTCAAACTCCTGAGAGAGCAGAAGCAGATGTCCAGTCCACAAATGAACCTGACAGTCAACTCTCAGACATTTGCCAGGGAAATTTGCATGTACATAAAATAACTCATGCTATGGTCACTCATCTAAGACTCAGCTCAAACGTCCCCTGCTCAGAGACCTGGTCCCTGATTGCCCTGCTTAAGAACACTGTCCTTATCCATTTCATCACTCTCCATAGCCCTGACAGCACCCCCCACCAAGTCAGGGGGTTTTGTTTATCAAACTAGATCTAGTGGTCACTCACGAATCCTTCTGTCCAGAGCAGAGTAAGGCACAGGAGACACTCAACCGCTGCTGAGTGACTAAGTTCACTGCCCTCCAACCTAAACAACTGAATTCAGTGTTGCACCCACTCATGGAGTATGTTTCGAGACCAAAGAATCTGACACAGGAGGTCTCACACTGTGTCTCACCTACCTCTCGACGGTGGATAGCTTCCTTCAGCAGGGTGACCACATCCTCACCCTCACAGCCAGAGGCCTTGAAGCCTTTTGTCCACTTGAGGAGAATGCTCTAAAAAAAAAAAAAAAAGAAATTCACACATGTGAAGAGACAATGTCAGAGAAGGGCTCCTGTGTCATTCCTGGAGGCTGGCTGTACTTGTAGACCTCAACCTCACAGATCAGATTCCCTGCACTCACCCACAAAGGATTGGAAGCCCGTTTTTCTTTTCCTTAAAAAAAAAAATGTATCTATCTACCTATTTATTTATTTGGAGTCAAGGTCTCACTATGTAGATCAGGCTAACTTTGAACTCACTATGTAGCCGAGGCTGGACTCAAATTCTCGGGAATCCTCCTACCTCAGCCTCCCCAGTCCTGGGATCTTAATCTGTTTCTAAGGTACTCACTTGGATTTACTGAGTACCTACTGTGCACCATGTCCTAGGCTAAGCACTCATTTAACCCTCACAGCCACCTTGTGGAACACTTACACAATCGCACCACTTTACAAATCACTGAGGCGCCGAGATAACTTGCCTATGATCTACAGTTTGCAGATGGGAGCAGGACTCTCTTCCAGGCACGCAGACACAAGTGAATGGGCTCATAGTACTGAGCAAACACTCCTACACATTTGTTTCCTGTCCTGGACAAAGCAGCTAACTCCGTCCCTGCCCTCTGTTAGAAAAGTCAAGCGTCTCTTAATTCTGACACTATTCAGTGCCCCTGCCACAGCAAAGGATGACCAGACTTTGCCATCGCCTCACATTTCTCAGTGGGGGAAGCTCTCCACCACCCAGAGTCCTCTGTGCACCTGTCTTCAGTGTGGTCCTCCTCCAAAGTCACCTGGATGGCTTTGTACCTGAGAGACATGTTTGCCTCCGGAGCCCTGTGTTCTATGGCAGTCATCAGAAACCGGCCCTGGTATCCCTGGTCCCTTTCCCAAGAGGCCAGCACACACCAGCAGCAGGCTGTGGGCTCACTGCCACCCACTCCCATCTCCAGGATGTCTTTAGTGGTTCATGCCCAAGAGCCTGGCACTTCATCAACCCAGGTGTGTCCCAGAAGATTCAGAACAAAGTACATCAGCCCTGTGAAGCCCTGGTTTAAACACCCACATCCTGACAAGGGAACGCGTGAGGCCCCGAGTTCCATTCTCAGCACTAGACAATGAAGTCTACAGAATGTCTGAGTAACATCAGCTCAGTAAATGAGCTTTGTAACAAGACAAGAACAAGTCCCAGCAGCTGAGGAGGTCTGCCCACAGCCCGAGGTGCTCACGTACAGCTGGATGCCCCGGGACTCTGCCTCTTCAGCACCCCACTTGCTGACGCCTCACAAGCAGAATGAACTCACCAGAGCCAATAGATGGACTGCCTCCCACTGTGCTCCTCCTTTTCACAATTCTAGACTTAACAGGTACTTCTTACAAAATAATGAAACACATAGAACAAAATCCAGCGAGATGATCTATGATCTTACAATTCAGATTAAAGTAAGGCATCTAGGTCACCTGATAAACAGACAAAGGACATACGCCTGCTGATGCGGGAAGATAGCATTTGCTTAAAATGCAATTCGGTAGGAAAAGCCTGCAAGTATACACACGGGAGTGTCACGCTTTTACCTTCCTACTAACTGGTCTTTAGATTTGTCTATAACATAAAGAGATTTTTTTTAACCCCCAAGCCTTTCAAGAGTATTATTTTTAAAGAAAAGTTATCCAAAACGACCTTCTCCAGACTTTTCCCACCTACCGCCCATTCTTCTGGGCTCCTGCAAACATGTGCTCTGTGGCCTTCAGGCTGCAGCATCCCATCCAACATGTCCCAAAATGCAGCTCTTACTCCCCTGAGCTTACTTCCTCAACCCAGTGTCTCTGAAGGCAGCAAAGGCAGCAACTGCATCCATAGTAAACCATACACCTGTGGCCTGTGCGTGGGCTCCTTCTACATGACTGACAGAGAGGAGCGACTGCTCGAAAAACCGTACTCTGAGTCCACAGCCCTGGTCCAAACACTGCCCACTCAGTCCTCTACTTTTTGAGAAAGAACATCTGGGAGCACCAGACCTATACCTACTTGCTTCATCCACCCAAGGCAAGTTGGAGAGGAAAAAAGCAAAGACAGGACCAGAGAAGAGCCAGAGCATCCACAGCAAGAGACAACAAAGAGCTCTGAGCCATAACAAGGAACAAGACAACATACTTTGTCAGCCATGAGGAACCACTGTGGGTATAGCCAGATCCTCTGCTGGGAGGCTAACCCACCTGCAACAGTGCCTCCAACACTTGTTCAGTGCTTTGTGCCAATCACTCTGGCGTTTTATCAACCTGGATGTGTCAGATTCTAAAGAAAAAAGCACATCCCTGCAGAGCCCGGGCAGCCACATCCAGACAATATGGACACACAAACACCCATCTTAGAGGGTTGCTGTGAAGATTAAAGGAGATCATGCATAGAGAAAGCCAACGTAGCTTGTGGCAAAATGTGCCTATATTGTTTGAGTGCTATTTTGTTTTTGATCATTGTTATTGTTCCAAAGACTACTGTAGCCAAGCTAACTTATTTAACTTCCAACAGCCTCGATTAACTCATCACCACCTGGAAGTTCCCTTCCCAGTGGTCACTCAGGCCATTCTTTCCCTTCTGCTTAGCTCAGCTTTCTACCTGCCTCTAAACCTGTGCTCATTTAGTCAATAAAAGCCCCCAGACAGTGTCCAGGGGGGTAGTGTTACCTCATCCAAGCTGTTCTGCTGGCATGGGAAGGAGAAGGTGAAACCCAGAGGCAGAGACACACCCTTCATCCCCATGTACTCCAGGAAGTCAGCGATGCATTGGACGATGTGGTCAAAGAGCTGTAGGGACAGATTGGGGCACTCAGCGAAGGGTCTTGGCTAGGGCAAGCTGCCTCCAGCAGGACCTGAGCCCAAGCTCAAGGTCTCTACCCAGAGGAAACCCAAGCTCAGTCCCAGACCCAAGGAGAAACTAGACTGACATCCTGGGCCACTGAGCCCTCCCTGGGACCTTCCCTGAGCAGACAGTGCTGTCCATGAAGGAAACAACTCTACCGGGCCCTCCTGGGGTGCCAGCCTGCCTCACCTCCTCCCCGGTGCCATGCATGACCTCCTGTGGGATGGAGTAGATCTTATTATGCATCTCCACTCCCCGCCGCTTCCCATTCCGCACACGAACCAGCAGGACCCGGAAATTTGTTCCTCCAAGGTCCAAGGCCAGGAAGTCCCCTTTCTCTGGAAAACCAAACCAGGAAAATAATGAGTTGGGGTGGTGGAGAGGGACAGAGTTCACGCTCCTTCCCCTCAAGGTGGTGAGGGGGTTTCCCTAGAGCTCCTAATTCCTCAGAGGGGAATGGAGTGATCCCCCTAATGGAGAAGAAAATGAGACACCCAGGCTATATCCCGGTTGGCTATTAGTGGTCCTCAAAGAAGTCCATCTGGTGGGGGTCCGAAAATCAGAATGAGCTCTGCAGAACACTGGGGAATGCTGACACACTGCACCTAAAACTATCTAAATACACCATTGTGCCAAGTCAAATGCCACACTGGATTAGACTCCAGAATAGAAAAGAAACAGAGAGCACAGTTTTTTAAAAGAGGTTGAAGGGAACTCTTCTAAAGTGAGAACCCCTCCCTTTTTTGGCAATTCCAGTGACCCAAATGCCTCAGATATAGTCCTCATCCAACCCCGAGGCAATTTTGGGAAGGAAGCTTCTCGTTCCTCTCATGGATGACCAAGATCTGGCTGAACTGGCAATCACTTGCTCATGGCTAAGGTGCTAGAAAACGTTGAGCAGAACATTTTTTAGAACTGGAGCAAATCCCAGCTTCAACCGCTGGAACCGCACTAGCCAGGCAACAATGATCTGCTTATCAATCATTTTCTCTGAACAGGGAAAAGACTAATTTTTTAGGTTACCAGACCTCTACAAGAGGTCAAAAACACAAACAGGAAATATAAGTTTTGCAGGCCATGTAATCTCTGATTCAACCCTTCAACTTCAGCAGGTAGTATGAAGCTAAAAACTCTGCATAGATGGATAGCATGGCTGTGCACTAGGAAAAACTCTATCCACAAAAATAGGCAAGGGGCGACCTGGCCCATGGAATATAGTTTTCAGACTTCAGATCTAGACAATTGTGATGGTTGTGAGAGATGGCTTTGGAGCCTGAAGTCTTAGTTTGAATTCCAGCTCTCACATTTACCATTTGTATGATCTGTGGGGAGGTTCATAAATTTCTCTATGCCTCTGTTTTCTTCAAACATGACAGTGTACCAATTAAGGAAATTAACTTCTAAAGTTTTAAAAGTTAACAAATACTAAATGAATTAATAGACAGCGGGTGTGTTAACAGTCAGCACTCAGTAACTACTGAGTAACACTGCTGTTTGATTTTAGCAGAGGAAGCCCTGGTTGGCTGTAAAATAGCTGAAGAAACATTCTGACGCAAACAACCCAGGCTTCTGCCCAGGGAGGCCCGCTGAGCATCAGCGCCAGGCCAGGGCCCCTGCTGCTTACCTGTGCCATCGGGGGTGGCACACACATAGGTGGGCAGCATCTTCACAGGAGCAACAGTGTGTGTCTCCTTGCTTAGACCTCGCTCCATTTCGACCTTCATCCTTCTCTTGATCTCCAGCAGCTGTTCGTGGCTCAGCTTTAGAGGCTCAAGGGTCTTCTGGCGGGCTCGGTGTTGGTCAGCCAGCCGATAAGCCACGGCAGTCACCATCGCGGCCCCTTTCCCACTGCCATCCTCAGAGCGGAGAAAGCGAACATCACAGTCGGGTACCAGTCTCCGCACAGCCTTGTGAAGATGCTTAGCAAAACTGCAGGCACCAAAGGGGGTGAGACAGGTGTCCACAGTTAAGGGCTGTGGTGCAGAGGCCTGCCCAGGGGCTAACTGCCTCGACCCAAGTGTTAGGAGACTCGTGTGGGTGCAGATGCTATCCTCAACCTCCTCTCTTCAATCTCCTAAATTAGGGGGACACAATGCAAAAACCCAGGTATTCACCTGTGACCACCCTGCCTGAGTTCATCCCCCCTGGAAAGGAAAGGAGTCTTCTAACAAACCACTGTCCCCTGCATACAGTCACACAAGACTTCCTCTTCCTCATCAAGCTGGTCTGTGCACCAGCTCCTCTGCTTAGTAAGCTGCAATCAATCTCAGCCAGGGCAGCCCAAAGGAATCGGGTGGCTCTGTTACCCTTGTATTTTCATGATTATCCTTCATTTCATTTGCTGTTGCCTGGGAAAGGCACTGAACAGTATTAGTAATGCCCTTCTTCGGGCCTGTTTCTGCCGATTCCAAGAGTGTCCAAAGAGTTGAACACAACAGGCAAATTCAGCAAGAAACTCTCCAGGTGGTAGCCACTTTGTGCCAAGGTCTTGCTATGCATGTGTGGTTTGTGGGTAGCACCTCACTGTTAACAAGTTCCCCGTATGATTCATGTATATACTACAGTTCTTGAGGCACTGGACTGGGAGACCAGGTACCTCCAGGTTAAAGTTTTCCCAGTAATCCGTTTAGTTAAGGAAGGTCCATTGACCAGGTGGCACTCACATTAAGAAAAAATGAAGGAAAAATATGAGCACAACCGAGAGGTATCTTCCAGGTCTCAATTGAAATCTGAGCATTTGGGTATATACGATGGGAAGGATCAAAACATAGACAAGGTGGAATCAATTTAATACTCAAGTCAGCCAAAGAATAACCCATTACGGTTACCTACTAGGTTGAGGATGGCCCTTGGCAGAGGACACAGCCACTAAGTCACACAACAGTAAAGAACCAAAAGCTAATTCATAAAGAAGAGGGTAGCAGGGAGAGCACCCAGCAGAAATCACCTCTTCTCACACCAGGATGGCAGCTCCCAGCTCCCACCTGCCCCCAAGGCCAGGTCTACTCTACACAGACCCTCAACCCATGGAACTCATGCTGAACTGGCCCATGGAGTCCCCAGCCCCAGGTGCTGGCAGGCCCCCGCTACCCGCAGGCGGTGGGGGCTGACTCACTGAGGATGCTTCTTGTACACAGAGCCATCCACCCCGATGGTGGAGCGCAGCCGGTCCTCGCCCTTGTTTTCTTTGAGGCGCCGCAGCACAGCAACCAGTGTGGCTGCACACAGGCTGGCGGAGCGTGTGGACACGATCTGGCAGACGCGGCGGGTGGCCACACAGTCCTCCTGCAGGGGATCCAGGCCCAGCCGCAGCAGGACCTGGCGGGTCCTCTGGATGCCATCCTTCTCCCTGGGAAACAGAAAGACAGGGTTGCAGACAAGTGTGTGGCCACTGGGGACTGGCGAGGAATCCAGAAAACTCCGTGTCCTGGTGCAAAGTCCCTCCTCACTGCTGTGTAGGTGGGCAGGGAGCAGAGGGGCATGGGGATAACACAGCCACCTCAGGCTTCTCTCCCATACCACTAGTGCTCCTTTTTCCCTCTAATAGAAACAACTTAGCATTTCTCTGTGTGTACAATGTGAGGACAAGGCCTTGTTCATGGTGCTTTACACCATGAATTATTGAGCGTGAGTTGGGCTGTGTGCTCATATCAGCACAGACAGACAGAGTCTGTCTCCATCCCCAGCCACTTCTGAACGTGGAGATTCAGCTGTTTTTCCCCTGAAGTGTTCAGAGCCTCTCTGTGCTGGCAGCTGCTGGGAAAGAGCTGGCATCTGGCTGAGCTCCCTTCCCAGGGGAGGAAATGCCTAGGGAGTGGGAACACTCTTCTCCTGGGGCCTGGCAATAGGAAGGCACAGATCCTTTGGGGTTTCCACTTACAACAAAATCCTTAAACCTTGTTCGCTGTGCCCTTCTGTTTTATAACCACATCCTCTCTACATCTGGCCCCTGAATCAACAGGACCGCCTCCATCTAAAGAGGAAATCTCAAGAACAGACAGCCTAGGCCCAACTCTTGTGATATTGTTTCCTGAAAAATAAAAATTGGACCTCACTCCTGCCCTGATAGGCTGTAAATGGTGGGTCTATCCCTGGGCATCTGAGGCCCTATTTTTATATATTAGGAAGCAGGGGCCAGGATGGGGCCCTTCTGTTGTTTTTATTTGTTTGTTTGTTTTGTTTTTTTGGTACTGGGAGTTTGAACCCAGGGCCTTTGCACTAAGTTATAACCTCAGCTGTTGTGTGTACATTTTTTTTTAATTCTGAGACACAGTCTTGCTAAGTTGCCTAGGCTTGGCTTGAACTTGCAACGTTTCTGCCTTGGCCTGCCCAGAGTGCTGGGATGACAGGTGGGTGCCACCATGCCTGGCTACGATAGCCCTTTTAGAGAACTGCTGATGAGGAATGAGATGTCCGGAGTTTCAGGATAGAGAAATGGAAGCTGACACAAGCAAACCATTACAGTGCCTTCTTTGATGCCTTCAGCATTTAAGCCAGTAAAACACCCTCTTGGGGCGTTTCACTTGGGAGTCAACCAATAACAGCTCTGAGTCTCTTCAGTTTCATTCTCAACACCAACTAGCATGGAGCCCAGGGAGTGGAGTATAGTGACAGGCAGCAACCTGTGAGACCCTCTGTGTAAAAGGCAGAGCCAATGCATCTTCCTTACCCCCTAACACCTGTTCCCCATCCAGAGGCTGAGTGAGCGGAAACTTACTCTTCAATATCCGAAACATCTTTGGTCTCGAAGCTGCCTGTGGTGAGGAGCCCGGGGCTGAGCTTCCCCTGGAACAGCAGCTCCTCCTTGGCCATCTTCACCAGGATGAGCCTCACCAGCTCCCCCATGTACATCCCGCTGATCATCTTCTCAAACCTGTAGGAGACACAGGCAGAACAACAATGCCCCGTCAGTGAATGCGGGGACACCTGAGCGCATGAAAGGACTTTGGCACCGTCAAGCAATCCCATGTGGGGCCAGGGCTGTCCCTGGTGCTGACAGCCCTACCCTCAGCAGCCAAATGAAACATCCAAGCCAAGCAGGGAATGTTCTAGAACAATCTAAGTCATAGGTAAGTTTTGTCTAGGAAAATGATTTTTACAACTTCTTCAGCAAGAAAATGATTTTTAAAGTCATTTACGAAATGTGACGTAGATCACTGGTATATTTTTTCAAGGAAAAAAAAACAGTTCAAGAATCTGGGGGTAAACACACTAAAAGTTTGTGAGCAGGTAGATGAGAAGAGGCAGAAGATGTCCCTCTCAAACCGGGAAGGCACCTGGAGTGATTTAGTTTTCCAACACTAGGGGACACTGTTTTCTTTAGAAATTGGGCTTTCTTGCTAGGACTATTGACAGAGGAAAGGCCTGGCCATTTTTTCTTTTTGACAAAGAAGGTCTCTTGGAAAGGATCTGGGTCTTAGAAAGTGGCACATGGAGCCTGCCAGGACTAACCAGGGTGGGCTACAGGAATAGAGGACCCTAACAAGAGTTGTAGAAAGGATTTGGACATCAATGACCAGAGAGAAAACTCATACCCCAGAAAGATATTTGCTCACGGCCCAAAGTAGGGTCAGAGCTAAGGGAGAGCTGGCAGCATTGCCCTGCACTTGGGGTGCATGAGAAATGCAAAGTGCCAATACAGGCACTGCCTGGCCTCCACAGTAAAGACCTCACATGTCTGCTTCAACATCCTCTCCCCTGAAAGCACCCTGGTGTTGGGAGGGAGGGGGCATAGCATGACGCTATCTATCATGATTTCAGGGCTGTCATGGCCAGCGATTTGGGAAATGTCCTTCCAACCTTTGTCTGATAGATGGAAAGGCCAGGGGTATGTGGCCAAGTGGCTGGCAAGTTTCCCTTTGGACACTTCAAAGGACACAGGGCTCCTCAGAATGATGAGTGTGTGTCTCACTAATAGAGGCGGGCACTGAGTGAGTGACTTCTCAGCTCATAAACCTCTCATCACCCGTGGCAGACACAGTGTCCTAAGAACGTTCAAGTAAGTGGACTCGCATTTCAACATATGAGGGAGGCTTGGAACTGAAAGAAATCCTGCGAATAACGCAAGGGCTCTCTGGTAAAGAGAAAGGCAACCCAGTGCCGATCCGGTTTCCTCTCCAAGTAGAGATCTGCCCTAAAAGCTTTCAAAAATGATCACAGCACTGAGAAGACCACAGAGGTGCCGCACACTCAGGGTGTTTTGAACAGTCTTCAACACTTGCTGTGTTCCTGCTTCAAGCTCCTCAGCAAGAACATTTGGCAAACATGAAAATGAGATGATGTTGTGTAAGAATCAAAAGTTAAAAAAACCCACGTCTAACCAGGCTGCAGTGCAGAGCACTCAGGGTGCGAAAGGTCGGGGCCCTCCTCCAATCCACCCTGGCACATGGTTGAGCCAAGGCTCAAGGCAGAAGCCAAAAAGGCTCCTTCACAAGCTTGTCCACAGGTCTTGTTCACCTGCTGGCACTGGGACTCAGAAATGAGTAGCCACCTGTCACAGCTGTCTTCTGGGGCACTAGTGGGGCGACAGCTACCATGTGACTTCCAGAGACCCTAATCTTAAACATTTATATATGACTTTTCCATGTTGCTCACAGGTTCTATGGAAAATTTAAAGTACAAGGATCACACAATTAGAACATGACCTTCTAAAGCGACTGCCTGAATGATGATCTGGTTTACCCACTTTAATTTCAGAGCCATGTCAGAGATTTACAGTCACAAACATGCCCCACATCACAGCTGCCTTTGGCAACCCTTTGTAGATAATGTTAAAACTATAAAGAAAACATGAAAACAAGCCCCCGGCCAGCCCCAACCCCTTTCCCCTGCATCCCCCGCACAGGAAAGGACACTCACAATTGCTTCCCAGGGTTCAGGGAGCCCATGTCGATCTCTTGGTCAAACTCGGTGCGAATGTCATTGAGTGCGCCATCGTCTCCAAAGGCCCCCCACTCCATGTTGACACACATCCGCCCCTCGTCACCCTCTACCATGTCGATGTGGCGCATCTCCTCCATGTAGCAGGCGTTGCTGCCAGTGCCTGGCCAGAGCAGAGGACCAGTCAACACTGGAAATCCCTGTCCTCCCCCACCTCATCTCCCTCTTCCTCCCCACCAAAATGACCGCACCACTGTCTTCACATGTGAAGTACAAAGAAATACCCAGACATCGAAACTTCTTTCCTCTATAGTCCACACCCAAAAGCCCTGGACACTGGACTGCCCTCACACTCTGTGCTCACTCACCCACAATAAGGCCAATCTCACAGTTCTGGTCATCATAACCACAGGTCATCATGGTCCCAACTGTGTCATTCACTACAGCTACAATGTCAATATCAAAGTCCTGTGGGATCAAACGGAGGGCACACCATCACAGAAGGGACACAGATATGAAGAAGGAGAAACAGTAACGAAACACACTGCTCCAGTGTAACCAGGACGCCCCTTTATCAGCCCAATGCAGAGCCAAGGAAGACTAGAGCTAGGAGTCTAGGCTGAGACTCAATCAAATAGCAGCCACTCGCTCCCACCAGCTGTCTCCATCATGGAAGACAATCTTCCTGATAACATCCCTGCAGTCTAGTTCATAGTCATCACTGCCCTAAGAACTCACCTTGGCTTCTCTTTCTTCTCCCCCTTCACCTCTTTTCTTTCTCTTCTTTCTTTTTTTCCTCTCCCTCTTGCTCCCCATTATCTCTTCCTATGACAGACTGTCCCCTCTCTGCTCTGTTCTACTATCATCTCAGTAACATTTTTACTTGAAAAATAATAGCCAACTCTTCTTCGTGGTGAAGGAGTGAAGGATTTGTCTTGCACTAAGGCTGATTACTTTCCATCGTGCTAATCTCAGAACCTCAAAGGCATCTAATCACATACAAAATGCCTGGGTAAACACAGGATAGCAGGGAAGAAGCCAACTTCTCCAAAACCTTCTTGGTTGAGTGTGAGGACAGAGCAAGCCCAACAGAACCTGCAGACCCCAAGCCTCTGCCCCACTCACCCCTCTCCGTCGGATGGCCTCTCGGATCAAAGCCACAATGTCTTTGCCTTCCACGCCACTGGATTTGAATCCCTTGGTCCACGAGACCAGGAAACTCTAGAAAAGAACCAAGCAGTAAATATTGAGTCCCCACACTAAACCACAGAGCACATTCCTCCAACTGTCTTCATTAGTGGGAGGTCACTCCATTAGTGACCTCTACCACTGAGCTAAGGTCAGAATTGAATTTATAAACTGCCTCTCACTAGGCCTAGGAAGGAGAAACATAGGCTTCAGGCTCATGATCCACTGCCCCTAAGAAGGGGAAAAAGCAGGTTATAAACTGCCAACGTAAGAGACTCACACCATCAACTGCCAGGCAACCTTCTTATAAGGATCTTTCTCATAGTACTTTAGACCTGAAGAATTCCTACAAGCATATGGAGAGCAACAAGGGCACAGTCCATATGTCCCTACACACACCCCCACCTACAAACCCACCCCCCAGAACTATCAACTCCCCATAGCGAATGCTGTGCCACCACTAACACAGCACAAGCCCATAGCTCAGGAGCCTTCCCGGGGTCTGCCAGCCCTGAGAGTGATGCACTGGAAGCATCTGAGAACCACCTTACCTCATCTAGTTTAGTCTGGTGGCATGGGAAGGAGAAGGTAAAGCCCAGTGGGAGCTTCTTGTCTTTGATTTGTAGCTTATCCATGAAGTTGGCCAGGCATTCAGCAATGTGGTCGAACAGCTAAGGACACAGGCCACGGGAAGAGGAGGGGGGAGACAGAATAGCACAGAGGTTAGGAGCAGGGACTTTTGACTCAGAACGAAACTAGTTGTGTCAGATCTTTATCTTTCCCTCTGATGTCTTCTTATGGTGATCTATAAAATGGGTATGACAACTAAACCTGTTTCCACAGTTACCAAAAGGATGAGAGGAGTCAGTACAAATAAGGGCTTAACACTAGTTAGTACTCATTAAATGGTATCGTCCAGGAAAAGCTTTCATCAAAGTTCCTCTCCAAATAACCCCCGTGAGGCAGAGAGAATCAGAACCAAAGTTCTCAGAAGTCAACACAGGCCCTGAGAACAGAGCATGTTTGGTGACCCTATCCCAGGTACCCAGCTGGTTATCCCATGGAAAGGTAAGCCCACCTCTCTGCCAGGAAGTGGCTTGGCATCCCTGTCTCTCATGATTAGGGGAAAAAGGAAATTCTCTGTTCTCATTCTATGAACCAACTTCACAAAAATAAGCAACTTTTTAAAATATTTCTCCATTCTAGAAAATGAATCCCCTGGGGGCAATTCCAAGAAGATCTTTTTGTTCCTTGTTTCACAAAGGAAGACCAACGTTGCATTCCAAGTGCTGCAGAACAGTGTTTTATGGGCTGGAGCCTCACAACCGTGACCACACTGAGCAGGACCTAACGCTCCCAGGCCGCAGAGAAACCTGGTCACAGTAAGCCACAGCCTGCAGGATTCCTTCTGGCCCAGTTGACACCCTCAAAGAAAACTGGTGCCTCTCCAGATGCCCAGATGCTGGGAGAAGGGGGCACTCTGGTGCAGAAAGTAAGCAGAGGCCAAAGAGCCTGAGCAGATTCCCAGGAGCAGGCTGATGAGGTGGCAGTATCTAAAGGCCACAGAAGAGAGGCGTGGAAGACAACAAGTATCTTTTCCTTTCCAGAAAGAAGTAGATTCCAGGAAAAGTTTCCCAAAGTGGTAATCCTGGACCGGCAGCATGCCCCACCATTGCCTGGGAACAGGTTAACCATGTAAATCACACCCCTCCCCCAAGCTACTGTAGCACAAACTCTGGGAGGCTCATGGATCTGTTAACAAGCCCTCCAGGTGATCTGATGCTGGCATAAACCTCAGAACCTTATTTACACTGACACAGGAAATAAAAGGTTGAGGAAGGGAGGTGACATGCCCATTGGCACCAGATGTCTAATGAATGGAGAGGGTGTCCAGGGAGACAAGGCCAGCCCAGGCTGGGAGGTGGCCAGCTTTAGCCAAGCTCCAGAGTCGGATTCTGTTCCTCTATTGGATCCCTGCAAAGTTAACCACAGCAAACTAAACCACCAAAGTAACACATCCTCAAGGCTGGGCAGGGTTCTCTTACCAAAAGGGGTCATGCACACACATGGGCCTACTCCTTTGACAAAGTTTAATGTGTAAATAGGGCTTCTAGAAAGCTATCCAGCAAGCTCCACTCTTTTGTTAGGAAGATGAGAGGGGCAGAGGGGAGAAAAAAGCTCTAAAATACTTACTGCCTTGGCCCACAAACTAGCCACTAGCCATCTGTCACTATTAAAAGTTAAAATTCAGCTTTCCACAACCACTGAGAAACTTCTTAGTTTTTTTGTCTTGTTGGTTCTCAAATATTTGGGATCTGGGGTTGGGGCCCAGAATGGAGATAAAGTCAATGGGAAAAAAGGTGACTGCATCCCCCAGGATGAGGAATGGCTGGCCACAGCGACAACAGAAGGGTATGAGGAAGCAGCCAGATGAGCAGATAAAACCTCCTAAGGAAAAGCAGTGAAAGTGCCAGTTCATGTGCCAGGTTTGTGCAGCACACTCAACATGCAACCTCTTCTAATTCTTACCACAATCTTGGTGCTAGCATCTCTCTCTTTACAGATGGATAAACCTACGCTCAGCCAGATGTCTCCACTTGCCCAGAATCACTCAGCCAGACCACTGAATACAGGTCCAACCTCTTCAGCACCTTAGTGTGGAGAGACAGTGGAAGAGTCCTACCCATTGGAGCCACTAACACAGTCCTGGGACTCAGCCTCCTTCTCCAACTCGTTTTAAAACCAAGAAAACAGGTTTATCCTCAAAGCCAGCCCCAAAGACAAAGGAGCAAAATATATCTCCCTCACTTGATCTCATCATCAGGAATTCCTTTTCCAGGAATGCCCTGGTTCATGAGATCCAGAACAGCAATTAGAAAACTAAAGGCTTCACTTCTCCCAAGCCCTAAGGCCCATGACACCACAATGCTATCAAGGCATCTTATGTCAATGTTTCTCCTCCCATTAGGTATAAAACCCAGTAGGGAGACCCAGAGGTCCAGCCGACATGGTACCCTCCAGGTGTGCTAGTATCCAGGACCGTCTTGATTATTGTCTTTCCACAGGTCAAGAGCAGTGGGAAAAAAGGTGCAGAAAAGCATCCCCAGACACGTATGTGTAGCCAGCAGTGGCTCTCCTGAGAAAAGGGTTCTACCTGAGTGCCACTGCCTCGCATGATGTCCTCCGGGATGGCGTAGATCTGGTTCTCCATCTCAACCTTCTGGAGTCCGTTGTCTGTCACTTTTACCCAGAGCACACGGAAATTGGTCCCTCCAAGGTCCAGGGCCAGGAATTCTCCATGTTCTGTAGATAAAGGAAAGATCAAGTTGTTTCCCAGGGACAGATTAGAATGTAAAACCCTGAGTCTTTCCATAAGTAACGCTTATCTATGGTGAAATAAAGTGATTACTGGATTTTACTTATTTTTTTACACATTTATGTTTGGTTTATTAACCCTAAGCACTTAACGTTTCTTTTCCAATTTGCTTCAACAGTGAGACAGGTGCTCAGCGCCTTCACCAAGTCCTCCCGGGCTCCTGGGCTCCAGTAAGCCTACTGCTCTGCAGGGCGGTCGGCACCAGACCTGCTGCCACACTGTGATCCCTGTCCAAAACTGACTTTTAATTTTCCATGCTACGATGGTGATGTCGTCACATAACGGAGTAAAATGGAATCCAATGCCTATCAATTCAGTAGCCTTCCAAATAATGTCTGCTGCCACCTGCCCCAAGGACCTCAGGCTTGCTAGACAGGAAGAGGATGCTGACCCCAGAGTGTATGACACTAGTTGGGCACCTCAGCTGCTCCACTTGAGTCACAGAGCTATGAAAAAAATGTGAAAAGGGACTCCTCAAAAGTTCCACAGATAGACACCAGGAAGGCAGAGTTCCTTCCCGCCAGGAAATAAGCAGTGCAGACAGGAAACATCCAGATTCAGGACAATAATACCCAGCTACAGGGAAGTGCCCCATTGTATGGCACAGAATGAAAGTGCTGAAGAGGCGCAGAGCCCACAGACAGGGCTGTGGCTGGCTAGCGAGCGGGCGGGTGGGCAAAGGCCAGGAGATGAGGCGGCTCGCCCATGCCACAGCCTCAACTGCCAATGGCTGCCCGAGCACCTCTAAAGATGCGAGAATTTCCCAGGGTGTCCACCTGGGGGGCATGTTAGCATTCAGCCCCTCTCCAACCAGAGGCTGCCACGGAAATAAGGCAAAACGGATGGGAAACCCAGGCACAGGCTCCAACTAAATGAACCAAAGGTCTTACTCTGGGTCCAGTCTCCCCAGCACTGTTAGCCCTTTGGCCCTGGAAAAGCCACATCTTGGCATCTCTGTGCCAACGTGATCTAGTTGCTGGGGTGCAGAGGAAACCTGGAGCAATCCTCATCCCCTGATACTCCAGAGGACTCACCTGTATACACAGCCAGCTGTCAGGCAACCTGGGAGAACAGATATGGAGCCCAAATTACCTATGTGAGAATCCTTACTAGTGGGAACAAGTTCCTGGGTCCTGAGTCTCACTGCCTCATCTCTGTTGCAGGAACATCATACATCCCAGGGTTGTTGTCAGGTAGAAGATTAGATAACAGGCCTTGAGCAGCCAGCATTGAACCAAGAAATCAAGACGTGCTCAGAAAGTATGACCCAGGCTGTATATCCTGCAAATTTGCCCCACACTGACACTTTAGTTTCCCAGGCCCAAACAGCAAGGGAAATTACACAATTCTATCCAAGAAAAGCCACTGGCACCAGTCCAGTGCCTGCAGCATTCCTCCTGAGGAGCACTAATTTTCCATTCCCTGCCCGGCATCTGGAGGTGGCCCCCTCAGCACAGTTGCTTGTTCACTAAAGCAACACCACCCCATCTGGGGGGACTCGCCCCTATCGTGGCCACGGGCGACTTTTCCAGACACACTGGTTCTGAACATCCCTAGCAGTGGGACCTCAGCCAGATTCTAGGACACACTGAGTGGCGGCTGTCATGAGGAATGAAAAGGCAAATCAAAGATGAACTGCCTCATCAGCACTCTGAGGCCCAGGACACACACAATCTGCTGAATCAGTGAACACGGGGGACTGGGGCAGCCAGGCCATCCCTGGTTGGTTCTCATCCAAGGACAGCCCAGCTAGATTCACTGGCGGGGCACAGCTCCCCCAGGAATGTGGTTTTGCCGTATTTTCTGTTGGACTGAAAGGAAATGACAAATAATAAAGGTCTGCCAAAAATTCCCAGAAAGTAACCCCAGACTCCTCTGGAACAAACATCCACATCCCTTCTTCCAGCACCACTCCACAAATGCATGACAGCTGCCATAGCCAAGGACTGCACTCCTGAGTCCAGAGTCTCAGGCAGGTCCAGCGTCATGAATCTAGAAATCTCAACGCAATCCCTCAGGGCATTGAACAGATGCCCTCCTCGTCCCCACACCTACACTATACGTGACAGTCCACCATAAAGCCATGATGAAGTAAGACAGGGTAGGCAGGCCTCACTAATCCCAGCTCAGCTGTTTCATTACCTGTGTGCCATAGGCCACAAGGATCTCTAGGATGTCACCCTGCCTGCAGAACACAGCTCAGTGTCAACTCCTCCCAGCAGTTAGAAGGCACGTGAAATACAGAAAATGTTAAATGTGTTTATGTGCCCTTAGGTACATTTCATAATGTAAGCCAGAGGTGGTAAACCTATAACATGCATGCCACAATGGGCCATTCATACAACTGAGAGCTCTATAAGGTTTACCATCAATGTAGTTAGCCATCAACAAATAGCTAACATCCTTGAAATGTTATTATCAGCATGATTCTAGTCTTGTTATGTAGCTACTCTCTCCTGGGTTTTTGGCAACTCCAAACCCTACTTACTCCTACTGGTAGCTCAATAGCTACCTTCACTGAGAACTTTGTAGGACAGTCCAGAAGCCCAGAGTAGAGCTGATGAGCATACCATTAGGTGTAAAGCACAGATGCATCTGCAGACCTGACAAAGCAGGATAAAGACCACATGAAAACGTACCAAGGACAAGTTCCTTAAGGACAAAACTGCATAGCAGAGGGCCCAATACGATCAGACAGAACATTCTGTAAGTAATTGATATTTAAGCAACTTTTGAGGAAACTGTCTCATGCTCAATTTGCCCACTGTTAGTTCATTTATTAAAATGTATCAGGGTTTCCAGGAATATGGCTGAGCAGTGAACAGCTGAGAAACAGCCTCCCCGAGATTTGGTATCCAGATGCTGGAATACAGCAGCAACGTGAGTTAGAGAAGAGGGAAGGGGGTCTCCACGACCCAGGAAGGATCTACAGTGAGAATTCAAGCCAACACAGAGAGTGAAGAGAGAGAATTCAACAAATCAGAGGTGCAAACAGCACTTTCTCCCTGAGCTCTGAGACTCACTGCATAGAAGAGGCTTCTCAAACCTGCAGATGCCGGGTGACTCCAGAGGCCTCCACGGGAAAATGTGCCAGTGGAACAGAACAGTGGACACAGCAGACTGCAGTGGCTGGTGAGTTATTTGGGTTCAGGCATCCCCCCAGAGAGGGCAACTGGCCAGTAATCATCTTGGAAAGGGGCCAATTGAGCTAGAAACTCAGAGCAATTGTGGACTGGCTTTTTCTAGTGCCTCCCAGTTGTCAGGGTGAGGAAGAACATCAAGTCAGCAGGAGATCAAGGAACTAAGTTCAAGCCACCAGGGAAGCGAGTTCAAGCTGGCTGGAGGTGCATGGAGTGTTTCAGGCTAAACAAATCAGGTTCCAGCCACACAGCCAGAAACCAGCCTGAACTTCAGTGGATCTAAAGGTACAGACTTACTGGGGTCATCTACTACCCCACTGCAATGGTACAGCTGACTTGGGGGATTAATCAACATGGATCTGAACTATGCGCACTTTTGTCTACCAGTGACAGCAGAGACATATCACCTAGAAATAAACTTTTTCTTATTTTTTCTCCTTGTCTTATTTTTGCTTTCTTCTTTCTTGTCTGTACTTGTTTTTACATGAATGTAAACATTCTTTCTAGCTTTTTGTTGTTGTTCTGTTCTTGTTTTTATTTCTTCCTTGTCTTTTCGTTCCCGTCTTCTTCACTTGTCCAAAGTTAGCATAAGCCTCCAGTCTTGCCTCTAACCCGTTCTTTTTCCATTCCTCTACTTTTCCCCTCAATCCCTTTTAAATTTTCTCCACTAAGGGTAAAATTCTGAGGGCATAATCAATGCAAACAATTATATAGTTTTTATAGTTAAAGGTGGCAAATTAATAGTTACGAGTTTGTTATTTTCTTGGCTATATTTGATGCTATTGTTGTTACTGATTGTACTACTTTAGCCAAGGTGACATAATTGTTCTAATCAGTTTCATGTTATGCCAAGACTGAGATTGGCTATGGGTCATAAAAAGTACTATTTGGCTAGGCCTAGTAGGCAGCAACTTCTCATCCTCAATAATTAAAGAGGTAGGATATTGCAAAAATCAGAAGATAGGTATACCTGGAAGACATTTCTGAGAAGTACTCATTTCCTCAGGGTTCCAAGTACTAGCAATAAAGCCATTTGCCGTAAGTAGTTTACAAGCATCAATCCAGGAATTAAACTCAAAACCCATAGAAAATGAGAAGACATTTAACCAAGATGCAACCTCACACTTGCAAGCTCACCAAAGGCAAATTCAGGGAGCAATGAGGTGGAACAATTTGAACCACCCACCCAGACTCTGAAGTGGTAACAACAGGAATAACAATGCAGATGAATCAGGTTCTAGGGAAAAAAAAAAAAAATCAGAAATAATTTCTCAGATAAGTACAGTCATGGGGATCATAATGACTAACATGGTTAGTTACCCTAGAGCAGATGTGGATTTAAAAAAAAAAGTAGGACTTGGGAAAATGATGAAAACCATGAATCCCCAACATAACAAAGAAATGAAATCCATGAAACAACTTCAAACAGATATCAAAGAGATTAAAAATTCTATTGAAAGTATACACAACAGGTTAATGATCATGAAAAGAAATATTCTTAAAAATAGCAAGGAACAACAAATTAATCCAATATCTGCTAAAAGATGCAAAGAAAAATAACATAAGATTGATCAGAGTCAATGAAAAAAGCAGGAGATAGCACAAATTACATAAAAATTCTGTTCACAGAAATAATGGCAGAAAATTTTCCAATCATGAAAAAAAAATTTGACACTCACAGTGAGGCATACAGAATTCCAATTACCCATGCTTTTAAAAAAAAGCTATACCAAAGTATGTAATAATCAAAGTTCAGAAAATCAACACAAGAATAGATTAAAAGCTGT